TAAAATATAATCCTGTATTAGTCGGTTAATAGGCTTTATCAACGAGCCAAACGTGAGTTAGGGGCCATTGTCGATTATAATCATTATTGCAAGCACTTTACCTGTGCAAGTCTATTTGTCACACGCAATTTGTGACTAATGGGATTGAATCGGTGGTAAAACCATTCGATACAAAAGTTTCAATATTGGAGAGTAATTAATTGATTGGGATTTAATGGGGATGATGGAGAATTTTTGGTGGAAAAAGTACAAGTTTCGCATGAACCGCACAATGCGGAAAACAATGTCCGAATTTCGTTAATAATTTCGGCTAATAATTGCGTACAGGATTATTTGTTAAAAATAAATGGGGAGGCGAAAATGTGAGTCAGAACAGAAATTTAACGGATTACGTGCAATGTTCGGTAATTTTTACTAAATATTTTTCTCCGCGTGTCAGAGAATTTAATTGGCGATGAGAAAAAAATATTAAATTCCGTAATTACCATAAAATTATCCTGGGTAAATTAAATATTAAATACTAAAACCGATAGTTCCCTCGCCTCAATTAGAACCCCGAGTGATTATACAACCCAGGATTTTCCTCGTTAATTAATCCAGCAGATCGATAATTCCCCGAAGGCTCTAGTGTTACACGATTTCAATGAAAGGGGGTAACAAAGTCAGTACTTTTCTTATCGGATAAAGGAGATATCGATTTCATCTGAATTCTAGTGGATATCGTTAATACACAATGTCACACTGATCGCACGTACCATCTAAATTCAGATAGAGGGGGAACACCTGGCCGTTACGTTGGAATGAAACTTTAAAACTCAATGCTCAAACGTTATCTACTTGCTTCCCCTTTTTTCCATGTATTTTTACTGTATCATGTCCACCGTTATAGCTTCACGATGCGACTATACATTCTTAGATAAAGGAAAACGAGGGCACGTGCATTGCCTTTTCGGCGACCCAACCATCATTCTGAACCGTGACGCGGTTGATTTCGATGGATAACGCACAGCGGGTGTGGACGGCGATAATTATCACACTAACAAAAATATTCTAAACAATTCCAATAAACCATCGCCGTCTCTCAACCTCAATTTTTTATTAATTCACCATTTTTCCGGAATTTTTAGTTGGCCATTTTATGGGGCTTCCATGATTTTCTCTGAAGTCCGCCATTTTATGATCAGTTAATCCTGAATAATTGTTCGATGGAATAACATCAGGGATAAATCGGTGTAGTCCAATTGTCGAGTGGGAAAAAAATTCTCGAGGGGTAACGAACATGAAGCATCATGCCCGTGATGATGATGATCATCGCCAGCGGTTGGCTGGGATAATTATCAGAGACCGGACTACAACATGCCTTACTAACTTTACTCCCTGGGGTCTTCATCCTATCAAGGAGCCGTCCTTACGCCCTCGGCTTCTCCCCCGTGGATTGCCACATAATCAACCGTTTCAGTTTCGTTCGTGTACATTGCCCTATCCGCAGTGACGAGCCTTAATCAATTCTGAAAATTTGAGTAATAAAGATGTTGTCTTATCACCTGAATCACCCTTAAAAAAAAAATAATTTCTGATTCCGGAATTCCCTGAAACGGGGATTTAAACTCAATACGAATTTTTGATACCACGACCCCAGTGATAATTTATACGAGTATTGATAAAGAAGAACACAAAAATGTTCTCAAAACTAGCTATTATCGGATTTTCTCAATTCCATTGAGACGTTTCGTTTGATCCTAATCTTAAAACGAACCGCTCGTTCCTATCGTCGATTTTCCAATCCCAAAAGTCACGAGGAAGCAATTACTTAGAGGCAATTAGTTCTCGTATTGACACCTCACCACTTCGAAACCTGGATATTCTGACGATAACCTGCGTTTTACGACACGATTTTCCCCATTCCTTCTTCAAGAAAACACGAGGATTTCCGGTTGATTGGATTTCTTATCAGATATTCGGCGGCGCAGCGAGAGATTTTTCAACAAAATCCAGTGAATTTTCTAGAATGAAAAACGACATTGCGTGGTGTTTTAAAAATAAATCAGGGTTAACAGCGTATGTTATTTTTTTCTTTGTCAGGAATAAGAAATGGTTTTGAATTGATGTAGAATAACTTAGCAACTTGCAAATGAGGTTTCACTCTCTCACCAGTAAAACCCGGTGTGCACCCCACTGTGGGGACCAAAGTAATCTTGCCAAGTGCTTTGTTCAATCGAATTTCATTCTCTCATTTTTTTCTCTCTCCTTTCGCTTTCTTTTTCTCCTGCCAATGCTCGTCAGCGACATGAGGTGGCTGCACAACCTTGTGGTTTCACCAGGGCGCCTTTGATTCCAACCAGGACCGGCCCAGTGTAATCATTTGTGGTTCCAATGAATCTAGACGTAATTATAATACCCCAGAATTTCAAGAGGGAATTAAATAAACTACAAAAGTCAATTGAAAAGAAATCAAAAAATTCCAGACAAGTGCTTCAGCGAATTCAAAGCAGCGGGCGCTCAATAAAAAATTCATTAAACCCCCGGGCGCAAATCGACGTGCGATTAATTGTTGATAAAAATAAATCTCATCCTCTCTAATTGCTGTCATTGATTTGAAATTTTTATGGGGAAATCCGTGAATTGTTTTTTTTTTTTTTCAATTGGCTTGAAAAATGAATTCGGGGTAACGAATTGGATTTTAGTGAACACGTAATTGGTGTGTACCGAGATTGGATGGGACGTTACCTGGGATTGAATAGTGGAGAGTAACCCCAGATGACTGAACACAGAAGCACCGGAGCGGTTTTACCCAGGCTTGACTGAGCTCAACTCGGGGTTGACACACTGTTGCAATCACTGGTTCAGAACCAAGATAGGCAGTTGCAGGACGATTAATTTACGGAGATAAAGTGCAATTACTCGTGCGTGTCACCGGCCACAATTAGCTCTGGCGTACACATACACTGGGGGGTGGTTGAATCACTACTGTCTTCTGGAATAACGCTATTTCCATCCTAAATCCAGGTTAAAATACCAATTGTGGGAGAATTTCTCTTGAAATTGCAACTAAAATCCTGAAAAATTTCGAAATTTCTCAGAGTGTATTCTCTAAAAATTCAGGACATTTCGTCATTCAAAATGACTGACAAGTCGTCACGCAGAGTTGAAAAATTTTCAAAACCAATAAGCAATTAATAAACCCGAAGTTATGATTGACGTGGACAAATGCCCCAGAGACTTGCACCGATTAATATTGACTCGATTCTCCAGCGACTGTCATCATTGAATCATTAAGGGCTGAATAGAAATTCCCACAAAGCTGCGTCAATCGAAATTTCATCAATCTCCCACTGGAAATGTTAGCCAACATCGGAGTGACACTCACATCAGCAACACGAAAGCATTTTCAACCCAAGTGACAGTGAAAAGTGTGAGAATTTCACCCGAGTTGGTATCAGTTGAGCGGCAACGCCTGACGATAAAATAATTGTCGGTGGTTGAATTATGAATAAGTGTTGTCGGTTTATTGCTGGCGTTACTAATGCCTCCTGGGTTAACGAGAAAATAGTTGATTCCCGGTGTAAAATCTCGGGTGATGATCTGCCATGAGGAAACACCACAAGAATTATTTCACGACTGGAGAAATGACACGGTCTCAATCAAATTAGCAGCTATTGCCGTTATCAGAGTTGAAATTCATATTTTATTCGGCGCCGCGGCGTCACTCGATCGCACTGAGGGCTCGATTCTCATTATTCCACCGTTAATTAGCCTTTTAATTGTCGAAACCACGAGAGCAACTTTGTTGCGCAAGTGAGTCGACGGTTGAATTCATTTCTCTGTGTGGCTTCATCATTTCGATTAAGTGGTTTGTGTAAACCATTCGGCGTCGAGTGTGAGAGAGATAAAGCTCGAATTACGTGTTCGTTAATTATCGGGGAATCTAAAACCCCGTGGTTGCATCAATTTTCCATTGATACATCCGGAAATGCGATTTATTTTCTATTGGATAACCGATTTTTCCAATTAATTCATAAATAAGTAGTCAATTAAATCCCCGGACTGACCGGAAACGTCCGGATAAAAATGAATAGACGGACGTAATTACATCGATTGATCGGTAACATTGGAAAATTAAATCTCACAGAGACTTATTTCGCGTGGAGCGATAAATTGAATGGTATAATTGTACCAACCTGCCCCAGTTAATGGTATTTGTTTCTACCTCTCGTATTCCGTGGAATCGCAATTTAACCTTTAGAATCGACACATTTTCATTCAATCATTCATTGGAGTTTGCGATTTATATTTTTTTTTTTTTTGTTCATTCATTCAATCAAATTATACCTCCCGTTGCAGAAACCCTTGAACTCTGGCACTCGATGCCAGTACCAGGAATTTTTACCTCCCTCCATCTCTCCTTCTATTCCACTTCACATTTTGTTCCCGCCGGTATTTCAGATGACGAGAGAAGTTTACTCTCTAGCCGATTAAATGTGTACACGCTGGATCGATCCCAATAATTAAATCTGTACGGGAATGGCGGAAGGATTGGTGAAAGGAGAGAAAGCGAACGTGAGAATGATATTCCGCGTCAATCATATCGCTGAATGCAGGCGTGTGGGTGAATCTGGGGAGATGAGGTACATGACGAAGGGAAAAATCTTCATGATGGAAGGGGAGAATCAATCGAGTCAATGGAAATCATGTCAACCCGGATCATGCGAACGATTGGAGATCATAAATGGCCTTTCAATATCGAGACATCTCATCCCAGTCTTTCCATCGATTTGATAATTCTCGAATTATCATCTCATTACTATCATTTGCTATCGAATCCTTCAAATATTTCCATTTCATTGGATTCAACTGAAGAAGTCATTTTTGTGTTATCGTAAGAATTGCTAATTATTGTTTTTTTACTACAAAGGAAACATTCCGAAAGTGCAATTATGCTTATCAACTGGTCGTCTTGCCGTTATCAGCGGCTACTAGCAACCAGTCAATTCTGCCGATTTTACCGATGGCCAGAGAAAGGCACTTGCCAGTTTAGTATTTCTCCCACGTCATGAATGTTGCATTAATTGCTGTTGTGGCTACTGCTGCAATCCATGGGGTATATTGTCGAAGACAGGAAGGAAAATTATTATCAATTTTATCCTGATGTTTTTTCAAGGTATGGGGTTGCATAATTGTTACGAAAGCAGTAACCAGTCGCCGTGACGAGTATGAGGCATTTTCTGAGAAAAAAAAGGCCTGGTTAATTCGACTAGAGAACGACCTGCCAACTGACAGTTTGGTTTGTTAATAATTTCTATTTTTATGGAATATTTAATAACATTTCGTGTCTTTTTGGAAATCCCGGAGCGAAAAGTCGTGAGGGAAAATTGTACGAATTTTTATCAAATATTTTTTGATGTCCATGATTTTTTTTTGAATTTCATCCATTTTCAGCTGACTGTCACGTATTATGATGAGGTAGGGAAATTAATTGATAACAAAACCAGTGGCATGTTGTGTGGCGATGAAAATGTGGAGACTTTCAGAAAAGTTTTATTCGATAGCACGGGATTCTCATGTCCAGTTAAACAGGTAGGAAATAATTGTGCGAATAATTGAAATTGTTTTACTATTTTACTCAGGATTTTAATCGGTACAGGGCGAGTACAGAGCGGTTCGGGAACATGAATATGACGACGATACGTGCGGGAAGATATCAGATATGGTGGAAGGGAGAACCGATTTTATAGACATCAACATTCGCGAAAATTATGGAGGTGAACTAATCGTAGTGAGCGTAAAACTGAGAAAATAATTTATTTTTAAAATAATCAAGATAATTGGACATCTTGTGCTTCACAATTGTTTTTCCTGCAAATAAAATACAATGACACTTTTCTAGAA